TAGCCTTAGCTAGGGAATACCATGTTTGGTAAATTACCAAATTAATATACTTATTACACAAGGTTCGTCTACATTAAAAGGTATTTATTAGAAGGCAACAACACAATACTATACATTTATCACAAACACACAGCCCAGACCCACAGAGCAACAACCCTTTTTAATCTATCTATCTATATAGTAATACCCTTCCCCGCATGTTTGATCTCACCCACGGTTAGGCCTTCACATCTAGTAATGGCTCACTGCTGCAAGTTCAACATCACATCCACCAAGGAAGAAAAGGAAGAAACAGACAGTAACATAGTTCACCATGATAGCACGTCTGCTGACGTCTGCTCAGTAGCACAGCCAAGAAGGAACAGAGAGGAATGGAGATAGGGGATTCCTGACTTGTAAAGGTATTGAATTACCCAATTAAAATATCAAAGGGTAAAGCTTATCCCCCTGTAAGAAAGGCATACATGAGCTTGGTCACATGAGCCCTGGTCACCATATTAGTTTGATGACAAAATGTCACCACACCATGCAGTGAATTAAACAGAGCCATTGACTCACTCACCCCTGGCCTCTATATTAGCGCTCATTTTGCCTGCATCGCACTAAAGGTACTAGAGGCATAAAACATCTCAGTCAATGGTGTGACCCGCTACCCGACATAGGCTGTTAACGAACCACAGGCATAAGACCCACTACGGATAGTCTTACAGTCACTCTGTCCTTATTATTTTTATTCCTATTTTTAGTGTTATATTTTCTTTTCATGGTCACTCTGTTACCAGTTAACTGGCGGTTCTGTCTGTACTGGCCAGGGGCCTATTGCAACCTATAGCAGGTACTCCTGCCTTAGTCAAGTTGTCCATTTTATGATTTTCTGCAAATATAAATACATTTTAAAAATTACATTTGTATAGACAAAGATGTATATATTTCTCTACAAATATCATTTTTGAAATGTAAGGTGTTATTCAAACACATTAATAGTCAATATGACAAATGTCTGCTTTGTAGTAACTATTGATTTGTTCTGTTTAAAACATTAAAGAGAAGTATCTATGGGTATGACCGTTACTCATTCCTTCACTCTAGTAAATCCTCTTAAAATACTTTCAAATATTAAGATAAGTGCAGCAGATGTAAATACACACTATACCTAAATCTGCTTTGACTTTGATCTCCAGGGTCATATTATCACCCCATGATGTTTCAGGGGAAATGTATGTGCCCTGAAGCTTGTGCTTTGAATGTGCTATATTGTATGAGGGCATGTGTGGTCAGATCTTCCTCCCACATTGTCTTATACAATCAATATGTTTATTATTTATAAAAATAATAGGATAACCCATAGCCAACATGTATTTATTTTTAATGAATAAACCAAACAGTCCCGGGTGGCAGGGAGACCTAACCTTGGCATACAAGATTCCTGTAAAGAACTTTTTCCATGATGTTCATATTCTGTCCTCATTTAATAATTTATCTGGAATAAATCTTTCTCTCTTCACATGGACATCAGTTTTACATTGGATTTAGACACTATCAACATATTTAAACACATAAAAAAAAAATGCAATAAATGATACAAGTGGCTAATAGTTTACTACAACCACCATGGCCACTTCTGGTTTTAGAAGTGGTCATGGTAGTAGGAGCCTATATATGCAGCCTACCTTCTTAAAAAAGCTGCACATATTGAGATATCTGCACATTTGTACTTGGGCTACTTACACCCCTAGCACAAATGACTTAAACAAAATGTAACTCTGTTCCAGACATCCAATTATCAATTCTGTGCATACATCATATCGGTCGTCACCATGCACTGCTAGGGGAAGTCTCCTACCTCCCTCACTGTGCTCCCCAACTCACTCCAGTTTCAACATGCAATTTTATTTTCCATAAGTAAAGCTTCCCCACCCACTTTCTGCTCTCCCCTCTTCCATCATGTGCCTGTAAAGCGTGCAAGGTGGTAAAAAGGTCCAAACATACACTTGGACCATCGATGTTGTGGTGTGTTTATAATTGGGCATGGCAACAAAGCAGATTCTCTGGCCCCCTTAGTCCTGCAATGTGAAAAAAATTGTAGTTTTTGAAAAACTGAAAACTTAACATTGCTAAGACTGCTTTTAGTGGCTGTCTTCGAGACAGACATTAGAGGTGCTTCCTTAAATTTAACTCTGTGAAATGGCACTGGACGCCGTCATGCTTTGCATGAGGACATCCAGCATCTTCTAATACCCCATAGGAAAGTATTGAGGCAATGCTTTCCTTTGGGGAAGGCCAAATGTGTGCACGGTGCTCTCCGCACATGTACATTAGTCACCCCCCATCGTCTGACGTCAGCAGAGGGGGAGCCCAAGCCTGCACCAAGGGACATCAATGCTGGGACAGGTAAGTACATAAACTCATTGAAAATCACTACACAATTATATACCGGTGGCACACGGCCCCTTCAAGACTTCATAAAAAAAACACAAAATATTCAGATAATGGCACTCTTTCACATATATGGTGGCACTATGCAAAATTGCAGCCTCTCTGTCAGGGAATACATTCACTGATTAAAAAGATAGATCCGTCAATTACAACATTCTCTCCAGAGGTGTGTTTACTCAAAAGTCTCCCTAAGACATCAAGTAAAATAGATGGAATCATGGTAGGCCCCTTTTTTATTGTGGCCAGGTCGATCATACCTTGTTATTGGGAGTCTACTACTTTAGCATCAATTAAGGAAGCACTGATTTTAGTGTTCGATAACAAAAGGTATGAACTGGCGTTGCGGCAACCCTCACCTCAAAAAGTGAATTTGCAATTTCATTGGGACACCTGGAAAAATTATATAAGTAAAGAGTTTCTCCTGCAGACAATTCCACATGCCCTGTTACATATTGATATACAATATATTTAGATATACAATTGGTTATATTACGCTCTGTATTATTATTTGAGAGGAACAAATCCACTATCCCCTTCCTTTTATTTTCTTTTTTTTTATCATTATTTTTTTCACTTTTCCTTCTTATTTCTACTCATTTTTCATGTTAAATGTTGATTTCTTTATATACCAAATTAATGTGAAATATGTTTTTTAAAATACTGCTTAATAAACATAGTTTGAAAAGATAAGTTTTTTTCACTTTTAAATCAATAAACTTCAGTGGGCTCATCACACATAGATTAGACACCAAATGAATCAGCTAGGGTAATACAAACTATAACCCACCTGAAACTGCACACTAATTGCACTAGCTACTGTTACTATTAGATATATTTTAATATATAAGAAAAGTGTAACATAATCTCCTGCACCGTCTCCAATATATGAATGTCTCAAACTTGGTGTGTAAACAGGAGGACCCTTAACACATCTCCCCTGCTAACATCTGTATTCATTTAGCTCAACAAATGTGCCAGTTGGAAACTAAAACGGTTAGTGTTTATTCTTACAAAGAATGCCTAAAGCCATTGGTAGTGGGGAGAAACAGGGGTTATTTAAGGGATTTATTTTTACATGACTTTTTTGAGCAATAATCAACTAATAAATGTTATATTTAAATCCTTAATTTGCAATCTTAATAAGGTAGTAGTTTTGGCCATTACAGATGTGGCCAAAACTACAAACAACCAAGCACACCCCTACATTCACTCACACATACTCCATACAAAACCATGTTTACATTCAAACACACAAACACTGCTTAGTGCTAAATACAACCCTACAAGCATGGGCAAATGGTAGAACCCCATCTGGCAAATCATTGTGGGCGTTGTGCGAAAGATGCAAGTCTACATTTGGCAACCCTTGCGATATGGTGGTGGGAAAAAAAAACCAATAGGATACCTTCTATGTTAGTACTGCCACTGTATTATTGTGTATGTAGACTTCCAGTGTTAAAATTAAGTGAAAAAAAACAAAAACTGCTATAATAATAAAAGTGCATAGTTTATTATTTTTACACAAAATGAAAAACAGAAAACAAACTTTAATGTTCAAAGTATTGGTTTTCTCAAGGTGCTTTCAGCATGCTCTTCAAGAGACACCTCTCTCTCTTACGATTGTTATGGAGATTTATTTGGTTTTCTGGGGGAAATATGGAAAAAGATTAGTAATCTCATAGACTTGCTGCTTGCCACTAGCACTCATCTTTACTGTTCTTAAGTAGTGATGTCCCGAACGGTTCGCCAAATGGTTCGCCGAACGGTTCGCCACGGACGGCGAACATATGACCCTGTACCTCACAGTCAGCAGACACATTCCAGCCAATCAGCAACAGACCCTCCCTCCCAGACCCTCCCACGTCCTGGACAGCATCCATTTTGAAGCTGCATTCTTAGTGAGCTGTCCAGGAGGTGGGAGGGTCTGGGAGGGAGGGTCTGCTGCTGATTAGCTGGAATGTGTCTGCTGACTATGAGGTACAGGGTCATATGTTCGCCGTCCGTGGCGAACCGTTCGGAGAAACGTTTGGCGAACCATTCGGCACATCACTATTCTTAAGTAAAATGCTATTTGCTAATAATTTTGCAATGATGATAATCAGAAATTAGACAAAATGTACCTCAAGCAGGACATCAATGCCTTCTTCTAGACTAATCAAGTAGTACAACATGGGAAGAATATTATTATAAAAACAGATAATAAATTTTTTGGATTGGGTATTTGCTTACAATGAAAATAGTGGAAATGAGCACAGTTGACTAAATATATTAATTTAAAAAGGAGTGAGCATCATATATGAGAGCACTTACCGAGAAGAGGCATGACCTTTGAATACTGGATAATGCCGTTTATGGAAAGAAGATCATCAGAATTTAATCTCATGCAGCTCAGCTTGCCTGGAAAGCTTCTTCAGAAACTGTCTACCTCTGTCATTATCCATGATCTTCAGAGACGAGATAATAATTAAGAAATAACTAAACTCTTCTCTACTAATAACTTTAAAAACCTGAAAGTAGACATTAGAACATAGGTAGTTTCGATAAAGTCTACTAAAATTAGAACATTATGCTAGATTACAAATTTCACCAATATATATTTCTAAACTCACTTTTCCAAAATGAAACAGAATTAATTGTTCCACTTCTTTTGTCATAACTTCCTCCGGCAGAGATTTTAGTTTGAAGGAAAGAAATTTCATAGCTCGATTTCGTACTATTTTCCTTCCTTTACGAATGTGATGAATCATCTTTTTTAATGTGCCTGTGAAAATAGAACAGTAAAAATATGTCTTCAGGATTCTGAGAGGAATACAAAAAAATATATATATATAAAAGTTAAGCCTTAAACACATTTTAAATTTTTAATGGTTTCCTTATGATGTACTACTGAAGAATAATCTCAAAATACATATTTAAATCCCTGAAATAACTTGTTTAACTTACTCAATGGTATGTTTGAAATTTAAATTCTATATATATATAGAAATATGAAGATTCCGCTTACCTATGGCATCCATTTTCAAAAGGTGTAACAAAGCTTTATTGGCGAAGTCATGTACAGCCAAGTCATCTAAAAGTTAGAGATAAAATGTTATTCGGGCATTATGTTACGCTACTGACAAACCAACTGCAAATTAGACCAAAAGTGACAAATTAAAATATGTCAGTTATGGTATTTTTTCAGATTGACTATCCTGGTGTAAACTTTTCAGTCTAATTCTTAGTTCAACACAATTCACTGGTCACTGAAAGACCCCATGTCATTAATAAATGGTGAGCTTGTACTATACCTGTCTTTAGCAACTGCGTCAAAACATCGGCTACATTAGGTAGATTGTCTTTAGATGCACATTGCAATAGGCCACGTGCAGCTTGATGGCGAACCTGGTTAGAAAACAAAAACGGGCAATCAGCATTTATCTACATTAATTGATTTAATTGTGCACACATTGAAATGTATATTAAGCGGAGGAGAGAAATACAAAGAAATTCATAAAATATAATTACTTAATTATAAAGAGTCCCCTTCACTAAACTGGGAATTGTGGGAGTTGACTAGAGAATTTTACATATACAGGAGAATTGGAAAGACTTACAAGCAAAGAAATTCCAAAGTCTATTCTCCACAACCTGCAATGTACCGATCAAGCTCCAGAGCTACAAAATGTAGACAACACTAACAGAACTAGGTTTATGATACCTGATTCCGCTGTTTTGGCTTTTTCTATTTATGTTCCCTACTAAATTAAGATTAGCTAAGAATTCAAAGGAAATTAAAAATCAATTTGAATCCTAAGGCTAAAACAGCCAAATTAAACAGAAAATTGATTTGAAGAATGTTTTTTTAAATCGGCTATTTCAGTCTAATATTTGAAATTCATTTTGAATTCCTTGCAATACTCACTTTAGTGAATAACCCTGTATTTGATTTTACTAACTACTGAACATTTTAAATTGAAAAAATTAAGACAGAGAATTTTAAAATAAATATTTAGTATGGCTTTTTTTATAAAACATTAAATTGTAAGAAATTAAAATTTTGCTTGGAATTTTGGAAAATATAAAACTTTATTGCACATTGATTTTGTCTAAATGTTAAAAGCTGTATGTCATTTTGCCAGCACTGAACATATTCCGATATACAGGATTCATTTTCAAATTATTTAGCTTAATGATTGTAACTAACAATAGCAGTTCTACAATATATGCAGTAAATAGTTTTGATCCAAACATTTGAAAACTAGGAAGACAACACTTGATTGTATTACTTACTGAACTGTCTTTATCATTGCATAGTGCAATGTGAGCATTGAAAGCGGAAGCAGACAACTCTGGAAAGTGTTTGAAGAACTTTGGGATCAATCGGGCTGTTAACTTTCGTTCCCTAACACCTCCTCTGACGCCATTAAATATTGTCTCATAAGAAAATTTGTTCTGAGAAAGGATAAAAAACATGTACATTGCTCACATGCAAAGTGATGTAGCATTTTTTAGATAATCAGGACAAAAATGTTGCAATTAAAACAGCATTTCTAATACACAATAACTATGTTTAGCAGCATGGACATTCAGTGGAACTATATTAAATCTATTGTAAGGATTTACAGTTCCCCCACCCTTTCCTATCCTCATAAGATGTATTAAGACCCAAGGGACACACACTCATGAAGTTAAAAATGTATAAGGCCTAAGGAGGACCAGGGAAGACTATTAAGGAAAATAACCTAAAAAGGGCCACTTGCCTTACCTTGGGCAAATCCTCCTCCTTGGCATCAGCTAGAATCCAGTAATTATGGTATAAATCACTCATTGAGACCATTGCTGGGTCTGTCCTTCAGTCTGTAGAAATAGGATACACAGAGTACACTGGAGCTTCTTGCAAGAATGAGCAAGTATGTATTGTGAGTGATTGGTGGGAGATGACAATGTAAATCATGTCAAGGTGGGCAGTCCCATGACACATACCTATCCCAAACAATGAGACAAATGAGAAAAAAACTAAATTAGCAAATGTTAAAGATAGACTGTTAAGATTTTGCATTTGTCATTGTTTTATCGAACAATGGACTAAATAACAATCCTGGATATTCCAGACTTTACTACTTATGTTAAAGTTGCTTCAATTCAGTATCGGTTTGTATTTTGCTTTAACTTAACAACTGATGTTTTCACAGAAACAAATATCTTCATATTATTTTAGGTATATTACAGGAAATGCAATGTGTCTTATTCTATTATTTTTGGTGAGAATGTCATAAAGACTTCAGTCTATTAATCTATTGAGGTTGATTTTGACACCCTATGGGCATTGCTACAGTTTGTCTTGAGGGTATGCACTTCACACCCTATTACATATCTGCACTTTCATAGAGTCTCCATAGAGATTAAACTAGCAATGGTCCAGCTATTTGCATTGCATTTAGAGTGAATAAGCAAATCATAGTATAATTAACTAATTGTACTGTGAGTAATCTAATACACATTCATACAAAGTCATTTTCTGGAATAGTGTATAAACAAAGACTGAACTGTTTCAGTTGAAGTGTGTACACATACTAACTTGAAGGTAAATGACCAATATTCAAGAAATAACACTGACTTTAACAATGAATGGTTCATAGGGCGGTCATGTTTGCCCTTCTGGCATTGACAGGACTCTGTATTACATAATGACATCGACCCATTTATATTTCCCAGGATTTTTTAAAATTCTGTTTACTTATCCCTATTTATAAAAAATATGCATTTTTGAGGTGTGAAAAATAAAACTAATTGTATAAAGTCACATTTTGTTTAATCCTGCAATTAAGCTCTTACATCTTAACTTCCTGTCAATCACTGATTTAAACTAAGACTTGTGTAATGGGTTTTAAATAAACTGCAATTTGTCAAAAATATAATGGTTAGTGGATGGCCACTGATTTTATTCACAGATCAAGTGAGAAGTTACCAATGAAGGGAAAAAATGAGGTGCAGTCAAAATGTTATATTATATTTTGCATGACACTAATAGGATCTTTTTCTTGTCATCTTGGTTGGTCCAAAATGTTTCTTCTAAAATTATTGCATGGACAACTTTCCTCTGAGCTGAAACTCAAAGCACAATATTGAAAAACTTAATTTACCTGAAATATTTTTTTCTTTTGAACAAACGTTTATCCCAAACTGTCCTTTGCACCTGGCAACCAGACAGAGAAAACATACAGAGAAAAGAAAACATTAAACAATGCTTGTATTTCTCTCTTTCATTTGTAATGATTGCCCTGGCTTTCTGATCTGAATTATTTACTAAATATTTAATACAAATTTTGTATGAAAATGGAACATCTCGTGAAGAAAAAGTTTACACAAATTTTAGGTTTTTTAATGATTTATGGTGTAAATTCTACCAACATGACAGTCCCTCCTTCATCATAAAACACTTTCTCGTATATATTGTACCAGATAGATAATAAATATATAGATGAGCAAATCTGTAGATATACTACTGCAGAATAAGTTGGCACTATAAAAATACCAATGCAATAAAAATAAAAATAAAAATATTTTATTATCTGAACCATTTTCAAATCTCGGACAAGCCATGAAAGAAGCAGGATTAAGCGCACAGACCATCCATGCTTCATTTTCAAAGCATCTAGCTATTTGTAAATTTACTAGCATTTAGATATTTAGACATATAGACTATTAATTAGGCTATTAATTAGGGTCAAGGATGACACTCTATGGGCATTTTTGCAGTTTGTCATTGGGGGATGTATTTCCCTATTACAAATCTACACTTCCATAGAGACTAAACTAGCAAGAGTCCAGCTAAGTAAATTGTATTGATAATGAATATGTAAATCATAGTTAAATTAACTTATTGAATTGTGAGTGATCTAATACACATATTATACAAAGTCGTTTTCAGGAATGGTATATAAACAAAGGCTGAACTGTTTCAATGTATGTTTATTTACAATACTAACTTTTAAATTATCAATATCTGTGAAAGAAGTCTGGTTTAAGCAATGATTGTTTAATGAGGTGGCCATGTTTGTCATGCTAATGTTGACAGAACATCACAGAGACCCATTTTAAATATAAACTGTTATTGCCCCCATTTTCAATATTATGCTTAGATAGATAGACAGACAGACAGATGAAGAAAATATATACAAATAAAATATATTGTTTAAAAAATAAAGAAATATAGGAGTCCACATTTTTTTTTTGTAACTTTCCTTTGCACTTGGCAGTCAGCACAGAGAGAACAAACAGAAGAGGTAAAACTAAAAAAATTATATTTTCTTCCCCTCGTTTGCAATGTTTGCCATGGCTACTTATTGTCTGAACTGAATTATGGGGAAATTTACTAAATGTTTAATGGAAATTTAAAAGAAAATGGAAAAATCTCTTTAAAAAATACACAAATGATATGTGATTTTTAATGCTTTATGGAATAAATTATACCAAATAGACAGTCCATCCTTAATCACTATATACCTTCTCCTGTGTATTGTACCAACCGCCGAGTAAATATATAGATGAGCAAATTTGTAGTTATAATACTGAAGAATAAGTTGGCACTATATAAATACCAATAATATATATATATTATATATATATATATATATATATATATATATATATATATATATATATGTGGGAAATGCAGGCTGCACTCACAGACTTTTGAATTCAATAGTATTTATTTTATCAAACAAGTAGAGAAAATCGACGTTTCGGTCTGCACAGGGATCTTCCTCAGGATCAAGTGATATGATGATTTTTTCTACTTGTTTGATGAAATAAATACTATTGAATTCAAAAGTCTGTGAGTGCAGCCTGCACTTTCCACATATCTACAGTAACATCCCTAAAAGGACTGGCACCCGGCATGACTATTGGCAAAGCAGAAGGAACTGCAAGCGTGAGTGCACTTTGTATTATATATATATATATATATATATATATATATATATATATATATATATATATATTCATTTTTTTTTCATTTTTATTTTTTTTATAAATTACGATTCATTTGAAAACCAAATGCACAAGTCTAGCTTATAACACTGATTGACAAAGAGCTCAAATGGAAGTGCCCAACTGCAGGTTGAAAGGGTGTAATTTTCTCCATTTAGTTTTATTTTATTTTTTTTTCATACATGCATATTTGTTAAATATAGAGATAAATAAACAGAATATAAAAAAAATGGGGAAATTACAATTCACCTTAAAAATAGGTTATATAGACTGTAGAACTTTAATGTGGCATGACATTGAAACAAAATATGTAATAATATATGTATACCTAACATTTCCTTTTCTATATATTTACTAGCTTACTGGCAGAATATAGGGTGGATCACTTATAACTTGTATAAACATTTTTTCTTTTTTTTGAGTATTCATTTTCTCTTAAATTTGTACTAAATATTTAGTAAATGACATCACATTTCGGTTCAGACCAGGCAAAGTCAGGCCAACCATTCTAAATGAAGTTCTTCTTCTCTGTATGATTTTTCTATGCAAACTGCCAGATGCAAGAGACAATTTACATTTGTAGTTTTACATTTGTAGTTTTGAACAGTGGAAAAAATAGATTTTGGCAAATTCGGTTTCATTGATGTAGAGTTTTGATTCCAATGACTTTCATCCATGCAATCATTTTGGTACAAATTATTCGGACTAACAAAAATGGCATATCAGTGTATTCTTGAACAGTGAACCAAATGGCATGAAAATGCGCCTATCAGTATAAATCAGTATTTGTTGACATTTTCACGCCATTTCGTTTGCTGTTTATGTAGGAAGATTTGATGTAACCAATAGATGGGGGAAAAAGAGAACAAAAAATCTATATTTTTCTAGTTATTTTATATTTAATAACCCCCTGTCCACTATTCATCAATAATCCTTTTTTTGCACCAATCATCTTTTCATTTAAAAAAAAAATAAAATAAAAATTTGGATGTCGTGATTTGGTCATATGGTGATTCATAGTTATGGAATTCAGTCAACTTACTGATTGCTCAAAATTTGGCAAATCATGATTCATTTGAAACAGAATACATAAGTCTAGTTTATAACAATGTCAGACAGAAGACTAAAACGGAAGTGCCCAGTTGCAAAATAAAAAGGTGTACATGTTTCTACATTTAGTTTAATTTTTGTACATTTTACAAATTCATGCATGTTTGTTAAATATAGGGATAAGTAAACAGAATTAAAAAAAAAGAAGTAAGTTTCTCTTTAAAACTTGTCTTTTACATTATGTAATATAGAATCCTGTCAATACTAGATGGTCTAACATGGCAGCACCACGGACCATTCATTGCTTGATCCAGTGTTATTTCAAGGATATTGATCATTTAAAATTCCATTTAGTATTGTATACAAACTTACACTGACACAATTCAGCCAACACCCAGTCTTTTGTTTATCTAATATTGCTGAAAGCTACTTTAAATGAATGTGTATTAGATCACGCACAACAACAAAAAAATGTGTTTATTCTACTATGATTTACATATTCACTCTCCATTCAATGCAAATATCTGGAGCATTGCTAGTTTAGTATCTATGGAAGTGTAGATATACACTTGTCAAATACATACATATGTAAAAGAATTGACCCCAAATATTAGAATAGAGTTTTTCTATCATGTAGCCCTTAACAATTATAGAATAAGGCACATTGCATGTTCTGTAAAATGCCCAATATAACTATAGCTATTTTTCTATAAAAAATATCATTTTAAATGTCAAATATCTATAACTTACAACATAAGTTAAATCATGAGTATCTTTGATAAACAAACTTGTATATCCTTTATAAAATAGGATTCTATGTCTATGTTCTGTACATATTGTCCATGTAATGTTTTATGTATATATACATATAATGTTCTGGTCATCTTCCTAAAGCAAGGGTTCACAACACAGTCCTAAAGTACCCTACCAGTCCAGGATTTAGGGATTACCCTGTTGTGTCTAAAGTATTTTTTCTACCTTTCTAAAAACACCTTAGACACAACTGGGTAATCCCTAAATCCTGGACTGTTAAGGGGCACTTGAGGACTGTTTTGGGAACCACTGTTTTATAGTCTTAAGCAAGCAAAATGCTTATTGATCATAAAAATAATAGTCCATAGCTAGCATTTACTTGAAAGAACAATAAAACAAATATACGGCAATTCTCCTATAACAGCCTCTCTAACCAGTGACAAAGTACATGACTTTGAAATGATAACTGAAAATAAAAAAGACCAACACACTGAAACTGCTAAATTTAGGCCAAAATAATTCAGAGGGAAAAATAAATGATTTACTGATTTTTAATTCACCGTAAACCACATAAATAAAACTACTCTTATTAACCATTTCCACCTTGAAACCTTGTAATTTTAGTGGCTTTGTTGAAATAGGTGACACACAAAGCTGCTAAGTGATTTAATGACATATTATCAATCCAATTTCATTAAGAATCTACAAACCTGGATTTAAAGATACCACTTATGAGTTAATTATTTTCTATAAAAAGTCATCTGAAACTAAAATCTGAGGACCATTAACCTAGCCACTAGCCATTAGACATTGTTATGGCTCTTCCGGCAAAAAGGGGTTAAACCGTCGTTTAGTAGAGTTTCCCTTTTTGTGGAGGTATAGGTACAGCTACTGTAGAACCCCAACTCCCAAACTGGAACCAGTGAATGCTCCAAACTCCCGAACAGTATACCCAGTAGTACTCCAAACTCCCAAACGGTAATCTCACGAATAGCTGCTAACGGACGAACACACACAGCATCCAAGCGGCTTACATTCCCAGCAATCAGTCTCTAAGCACGTATAGTAAATCCCCTCAATCACGAGACCAGGCTCCACATTGAGGGTAAAACAGGATTCTGGTCTATTGAGGGCTACCTGCCCGGTATTTATGCAGGTCTCCCACCTGGTGGACACTCCCCTAGGGGACCAGATGGAAGACTTTAACACAGACAGACATGTATTACATTCAGACACACAGAAGTAAAACATCCCCACAATGCATCCTAATTTCCCTCCCTCTATCCTGGAGAAAATTGGGAAGTAATCCAATTATCTCCCAGGACAGAGGCAAATCGCCATTATACACGTGGGGACACAGAGACAGTAAAATAATTAAAACATAAATATTACATTTACTACACCAACCCCATACATGTCACATATCCCCAGATAGCTTAGATCTGAGCGCACATAACCACCGAATAGCGCTCAGATCACACACATACAGTTCAATTGCCATGGAGCCAAAGTCTTTAATTACATGAATAGGCTCCATGACATAGCTATCTGGGTTAAAACATTCACTTAATTAAAGTTCCGATCAATCCAGTGTTCGTTTAAACAACCGAAATAAAAGCAGGGAAGGCTGGAGGCTCAGCGGTGCCTGCACGTAAAAGTATCTGCTTTTGTGCACTGATTCTGGGATGAGCACTGCTGGCTGTCCGGGGAGCTCCATAACACCGCCACCGGGTGGTGGCTATGTGTAACCGCGACCACCCAGTAAAGTCAATTAAACCTAAATATCATTCCCTGTACCCTGACAGTCTGACCATGCAATATAAAATCTACCCCTGTACCCTGACAGTCTTATCATGCAGTCTAAACAAATCTACCTCTATACCTTGACCATCTGCCCAGCAATATAACATCTACCCCTGTACCTTGACAGTCTTACCATGCAGTCTGAAAATCTACCCCTGTACCCTGGCAGTCTGATCATGCAATATAAAATATACCCTGACAATCTTACCATGCAATATAAAAATGTATCCCTGTACCCTGACAGTCTGACCATACAATATAAAATCTACCTCTGTACCCTGACAATCTGACCATGCACTCTGAAAATTCTCCCCCTGTACCCTGACAGTCTGACCATGCCTTGTACAATCTACCCCTATACCCTGACAGTCTTACCATGCAGTCTGAAAAATCTACCCCTGTACCCTGACAGTCTGACCATGCAATATAAAATCTACCCATATACCATAACAGTCTGACCATGCAATCTAAAAATATATCCCTGTACCCTGACAGTCTGACCATGCAATCTAAAAATTGGCCCATGTGCCCTGACAATCTGACCATGAATTCTAAACATCTGGCAATACACCATCACAACCTAAACTTGCATACTATATATCTAGAGTTGCATTTTAATAATCTAGCCATATATTCATAGGACACAGGGATAAAAAGCATGTATATGCATTGGCCACAATCCAGCATTTTCATGGTCTGTCCCAGAATGCTTTGCAAAATGTGCAGGTTACAATGGATGTCACATAAGACTCACTTTCATGTGGGAAAAATGACAACAGAGGATTTGATAAAATAAATATTATACAAATGTGCTTATATATTTACTAGCTGGTAGAACATCTAGCAGAAAGTAAGAAAATATTAAGGAAGGACAGTCATATCACTAGAATTTACAATACTTACAAAAATGAATGACAGAAAGCTAAAATGGAAGTGCCCAGTTGCAAAAAATCATGTGGCCGCCTACATTATTTTATAATATACTTTATTCTTAAACCCCTTTAAAATGGGTCTCTGTAATGTGTTGTAAGACAGAGTTCTGTCAATACTAGCATGAGAAACATGGCCACCTCAGTAAACAATCATTGCTTAAACCAGACTTCTTTCACACATATTAATAATTTAAAAAGTTCAATTAGTATTGTATACAAACTTACACTAAAACTGTACAACCAACACCCTGTTTTTGTTTATATACCATTACTAAAAACAACTTTGAATGAATTTGTATTAGTATTGATATTAGACCACTCACAATACAATAAGTTCATTTAACTATGATTTACATATTCCTTATCAATACATTGTACTTCCCCCATGACAAACTGTAGGAATGTCCATAGGGTATCATAATTGACCCTAATTAATAGACTAAATGTCTAAAGACGTTAAAAATAACAGAATAAGACACATTACATTTCATGTAAGATGCCTAATATAATATTTAGTTATTTTTCTGTAATAATATCACATGCTAAATTATGGCAAAATACAAACTAAAACTGAAATACAAACTAAAACTGAATCCGATCACCTTGTTCACCCCATGAACACTCCATAACATTGCTCAAATGATGTGCTTAATTAATTAACCAGAGTTATTTGGAACAGTAAAATGAGCAGACATCATAGTTACTAAAAATAATGTTTGTTTGTAAAATATTTATTTTTAATTTCAAAAGTCCTTGTTTTACAAGTAGTTCCAAATATTCACAATGTCTGCAATGGAAAATTATTATTTTCACACTCATCTGAAACACATTTTCATACTTTACCCTTCTCCAGTTCCTTATAAGAATTATCATAGGCACGGGTAACTGTAATATGAATAGTGTCCTGGGCAAGCTTCTTCTCCTATGGCTCCCATACAAAAAAATCTATATGGAATTAGAATTATAAAATCATTTAAGTAGGATTCTGCAGGTCCTACAATCATTATCCCTATTATCTTTCTGCAGACCTCAAATTAGCTATTAAGCTAGAGATTGTTTGGAAAATACTTATTTTTAAACTCATCTGATCCTCTATTCAGGTATCACTGTATCTCTTATAAGTTGTCCAGCCATGCCAGTCATGCAAGGTTGGCCAGACACAGGAAAGAAAAGCACTGACAGATTGATCATGCTACATGAAGAACCCATGATTGGCACTATGTACTTATCTTATAAAAGCAGGGCATTATGAAGTGCTAATAGTGTTTAAAAGCCCATTGGTGAAAAACAAATTTAATCCAAAAATGAATTAAGTTTTATACAGAAAACACTGGTAAAGAGATGCAGTGTGTATGTGTGTGTGCTATTTACTGAAACAGAAATATTCAAATCTAAAAATTCAAAGATTTTTAATTAGTGCTTTGTTCTATAAAACACATGCAAAATGCCTATCATTAACATATGCTAATTAAGTCTCATGGTCTTTTTTGTCTAGTAGCCCCTCCCCATTACTTGGGATAGGTCTGTTTCAAATGACTGCCCACCTTGACAGGACACATATTGTCATCTCCCACCAATCACTCACAATACCTATTTGCTAACTCTTGCAAGAAGCTCCAGTGTACTTTGTGCATCTTGTTTATGCGAACAGAAAGACAGACTCAGTAATGGCTTCAATGGGTGAATTATATCGTAATTACTGGATTCTGGCTGATGCCAAGGAGGAGGATCTGCCCAAGGTACGGCTGAGACTTAATTTACTGTGTCTTTTCTTAATAGTCCTCTTTAGTCCACCTACCTTTTCTACAATTGTAACTATATAAATATTTCCCCTGGGTCTTAATACAGCTTGAACTTATTATTTTGTTAGCTAAGTATGACAATAAATGTAAATGAATCCAGATTGGAACTGGATATTAAACATTGCTTATTCAATCAAACATGGAAAAATATAGCGCTAGACTGAATACAATTCAGAGTGACCAGAAAGGGTGGGGAATCTGTACATTCTTCTCTAGTACTTTGAATACAGCTCAATGCTGCTTAATGCAGTTATTGTATATTAGAAATGCTGTTGTAATTTAAACATTTTTGTCCTCAAAACCTAAAAAATGCTACATCATTTGACCATACAACCAATTTTCATGCTAACATTGTTTCCTGTTTTGTCTCTAAGTTCATGTTTTTATCGCTTCTCAGCACAAACAATCATATGCTGCAATTTTGGATGGCACCAGTGGAGGATTTAAGGAAAGAATGTTGGCAGCCCGATTGATCCCCAAATTCTTTAAGTACTTTCCAGAACTGTCTGCTGTTGCTTTCACTGCCCACCTTGATTTGTGTGACGACAAATATATTTCAGTAAGTAATGCAATTATGGTTAAGTGTTGTCTTTCTAGTTTTTTAACGTATAGAACCAAACTATTTACTGTATACAGTGTGTATTGAACAATGCAATTTGCTAATGAATCCTGTATATAGGAATATTTTCAGTTCTATTAAAATACCATACAACTTGCAACATTTAGACAAAATTGGCATCACATAGAATGTTTTTACTAAATTATGTAAAGAAAAATGCTAATTTGTCACAATTCAGTGTTTTATAACCAGGTCATACAAACTGTGCCTTTTATGGTTCTCTCTCAGTTTTGTAATTTTCTACATTTGTTAAATGGCTGGTAGAATTATATTGTTCAACTGACGTTTGCAACAAATTCAAAGTGAATTTCCAAATTTTAGCCTTAGATTTAAAATTGAATTTGAATTTACTTTAAATTCCCATCAATTCTCAATTTAGTAAATGAGCCTTACTTTCTACTGTGAACCTAATTGGAAACTACCAAACTAGTGGATTGAGGTTCTACAAACTTAGTTGTGTTTTGTCTATATTTTGCAACTCTGGAGCATGATCAATGCATTCAGAATTGTGGGGAATTGACTTGCTTATAAAAGTCTTTCCAATTCTCCTGTAAAGGATAAACATGTGAAATTCTCTAGTCAACTCCCACATTTCCCAGTGTAGTGAAGGGGTCTCTTCATGTTTAAAGGATTCTATTTTATGGATCTCTTATTATCTCTCACCTCTCCTGAACATATATTCCAATGTGTGCACAAGGAAATAAATGGATGCAGATAAGAATTACTGATCGGCTGTTTTTGTTTTCTTACAAGGTTCGCCATCAAGCTGTACGGGGACTGTTGCAATTTGCCACAAATGAAAACCTACCTAACGTTGCTGATGTTCTTATACAGTTGTTAAAGACAGGTATGATATACAGGCTGTGCATACAAGCACTAAATTAAGTCTTTCATTGACTTGAATTGTGTTGAACTAAGAAATGGACTTTAACCCCTTAAGACCGGAGGGCGTACAATTACGCCCTATTTTAGGCGGCTCTAAACGACGCCGGGCGTATTTGTACGCCCTCCGGTCTTTCATTACTTACCCGGTCGCCAGCGGTCCCACGCCAGCGATCACGGTGGGGGGGACTCCCAGGGAGCCCCCCCACGGTAGATCCTCCTCCTCCGGTCCCCCGCGGCCATGTGAGAGTGAGGTCCTTGCGAGGACCTCACATTCACATGGCCGGGTAGGCTGCCTCCTGCATTGCCAGCAGGGGGGCTGCCTGTAATGACAGGTGGTCCCCCTGCTGGATGAAAATAAAAATAAAATAAATTAAAAAGTGTAAAAAAAAAATGTATACTTAGATCATATATATATATATATATATATATATGATCTAAGTATATATATATACACATATACATACACACACACACACACTGTCTAGGTGTATTTTACTATTAATATATATATAATTATATATATATATATATATATATATTAATATCAAATTACACGTAGACTGATATTGATTAAATATATATATATATAATTATTGTTATATATATATATATATATTTATATATAATATAAAAAAATTAAATATGTAAATACGTTAAAAAATTAAATTAAAAAATAATTAAAAAATATATAGATGTGTGTTATTTCATTCTAACTGTATTGTGATATTAATATATATATATATTTATATCAAAATACACATAGAACGAAATAATATATATATCTACATACATAAATATATACGTATATATCACTATATATATACCTATATATAAATAAAAATATTTTTTTAAAATTATATATATATACACATATAGATTCACATACGTATATATATATATATATTAATTCTACATATATATTTATGTAATATTTTTACATAATTAGGTATCTTAATTAATTACAATTAGCGGGACCTGCCTGACAACCCATGCCGAAAGTAAAGGGAATTTAATTTGCTAGCACTATATTTAACCCTATAACTTTCCAAGACACCATAAAACCTGTACATGGGGGGTACTGTTCTACTCGGGAGACTTCGCTGAACACAAATATTAGTGTTTCAAAACAGTAAAGTGTATTACAACGATGATATCGCCAGTAAAAGTGATGTTTTTTGCATTTTTCATGATATGTTTTGCTGTTTTGAAACACAAATATTTGTGTTCAACAAAGTCTCCCGAGTACAACAGTACCCCTCATGGACAGGTTTTATGATGTTTTCAAAAGTTACAGCGTCAAATATAAGGCTTGCGTTTCATTTTTTCACATTAAAATTCGCCAGATTGGTTACGGTGCCTTTGAGACCCTATGGTAGCCCAAGAATGAAAATTACCCCTATGATGGCATACCATTTGCAATAGTAGACACCCCAAGGTATTGCAAACGGGGTATGTCCAGTCTTTTTTAGTAGCCACTTAGTCACAAACACTGGCCAAAATTTGTGATTTTTGCATTTTTCACACAAACAAATACTAACGCTAACTTTGGCCAGTGTTTGTGGCCAAATGGCTACTAAAAAAGACTGGACATACCCCATTTGCAATACCTTGGGTTGTCTACTATTGCAAATGGTATGCCATTATGGGTGTAAATTTCATTCCTGGGCTACTATAAAGTCCCAAAGGCAACGTAACCAATCTGGCAAATTTCAATTTCAAATGTAACGTGCTATATTTGACCCTGTAACTTCCCAAAATGCCATAAAACCTGTACATAGGGGGTACTGTTTTACACGTGCAACTTTGCTGAATACAAAAATGTTTATTTTATTGCAGTAAAAGCAAACAGTATTATGACATTGACAGTTAAAATGTCATGTAGAACTAAAAAATGTTTTAAAAGTCTTATTTACTCCTATTTTTTCATATTAAATTATGTTTCATAGCTAAATATTTGATATTAAATGAAAGCCCTGTTTTCCCTGAATAAAATGATATATAATAAGGGTGGGTGCATTTAATATGAAAGAGGTGAATTACGGTTGGACAGACATGTAGCGCAAATGCCAGGTTTTGTTTACATTTTGTTTCGTTCACAACGTGTACATTTGGCTCCGTCCTTAAGGGGTTAAAGTCTAATGGATATCCATCACTGTACTGCCAAAGAATGTCTTCTAAGCAGGAACTAATATTAGCTCACTTGAGCTAAGCACAGCATTGATGCAAAAGTTATGTTAAAGCAACTGAATACATTTTTTTCTCTTTTAGAAGATGTGGCCGAACTTGACTTGGCAAATAATGCTTTGTTGCATATTTTAAAAGTGGATGCCAAAGGTAAGCAAAATCTTTATATTTCTATACAATGTCAAATAAAGTGATGTTACAGAAATATATATATATATATCAATTTCAAACATACCAAGATATTTTGGGATTGTTCTTCAGTAGTACATCATAAGGAAACCCTAAAATATGTAAAATGCGTGTAAAGCTTAACTTTTATATTTATTTTACATTTAAAAAAAAAAAAAAATTAATCTTGAAACAATGTTATTGTTATATTTTTGCAGGCACATTAAAAAAGATGATTCATTATATCCGTAAAGGAAAGAAAATTGTACGAAAGCGAGCCATCAAATTTCTTTCCTTGAAGCTAAAATATCTGCCGGAGGAAGTGATGTCGAAAGAAGCCGAACAATTAATTCTGTTTAATTACAAGAGGGTGAGTTTAGAAATGTTTTGGGAAAATATATAATCTTGCATAATGTTTCAGTTTCATGAGTTCATATCTAAACTATCTACGGTCTAATGTCTACTTTCAGATTTTGAAGGTTGTCGGTGGAGAAGATTTTTATCTGTTTGTAAGAATCCTTTCTTCTTTACATATCATGCAAAATGACAAAGGTAGACAGCTGCTGGTGGATCTTATGTTCATGGAAGTTGATCTGCATGAAACTAAAAATGCTGACAGTCTTGATTCTATATACTGCTTTATCAAGTGTACGCAACAAGTTATGCCTTTCTTTTCGGTAAGTTATATTTGCTCTTATATATTATGCACAGTACTTTTTAATTGATATATTCGATTACTCATACTAATTTTCACAATTTTTTTTGTAGACAAATGTCCACTCTAATAAATTTGTGACTCATTTCTGTGAGAAGATTCTTCCCATATTGGGCTCCTTAAACAATCTAGAAGATGGCAATGATGTCCACCTTGAGGTATGTAGTGTCTAATTTCTAGGTCATAATTATTTTATAATGAATTAGTATTCAGTTTTATTTGTCAGAACAGTATAGATGAGTGAAAGTATCTTGGACATCTATGTCTACATCAGATTGACCAAACTGGAGCATGACTTAAACCTATTGGTATATTGTCTCTGTAGGTGCTGAAACTGATGGCAGAAATGAGCAGATTCTGTGGCGTAAATGACAAAATCGAATACTGTATGCTTACAGTTTTTGATACATTACTGGTATGTATTTTTCATCTATTTTTTCACTACATGGCCCTCTGAGATCCTGTCACATGTTACCTTTTCCATAAATAACCAATGGTGCCAAAGCTCATGGTTCATGGTGAATTAACTTGCATCTTTCTGTATTTTTGGTACAGAATTACTTGCCTCCTCCCCCTGAAGATGCAAAAGACAATGAAGACATTAAACTGCATTTCAGCCATATCGAATGCTTACTATTTGTATTACAACAGCTAGGAAAAAAGCTTCCAGACTTTCTCATCATGAGAGTGCATGAAGAGAAACTAGCAGATTTTCAAATCAGGTAAGTTGTTTTTTAATTCTGTCAATATAATGCTAATGCCACTATAAAATGATTAAATTCCAGTTTGTATTTATAAAATGTGGCAAATGCGGAGTTTACTAACACCACTAATCTCTTACAGATTACAATACTTTGCTGAAAACCTTCAAGAATTTATTCAGCCATTGCGTCTGGCTTTGGCAGAAAATTCAGAGGAAATTATGAAACCTGAAGAGGTAAAAATCATGGTATTATTAACTCTGCATTATCACTTTATTTAGACCAACATTATGGCACACACTTTGCATTCTGACCTGCTTGGTTAACCACTAAGTTATCTGGAAAAGTCACACTTCTGAACTGCAGGGGTACTAATGTCACCCACAAATGTTCGGTGCAATATGAAGGTTAAGTTACAGTTATTTAAGGTTTTTGGCCTTTTATATTAATATATATATATATATATATATATATATATATATAATATAGGTATAATGGCACTCACCCTTGCTGGTATGTTAGAGATCTTATGCCCTGGTGCTATCCCACGCTGGAGTATATAATATATCAATAATAAGGATGCACTCTCCGGTCTTTTTAAATATTCCAAAAGGTATTTATACCATTACATACTGTGACAAATTGATCGACGTTTCAACCCGTTCAGGTCTTCCTCAAGAAATATATAAATTTTTTATATAAAACAATGTCATGACTAAAGTTTTTGGGAGTTGTAGTTGAGCTGTTAGCTTTCTACAGTATAACACTGACATATGAACTACAATTCCTTGAATATCTTGCTGCTGACATAACATTGCATATGGCAATTCAAGTTTGGTGAGAGGAGACACTTGGTAATGCAAGATATGGTATAATCCAGCCGAGACTGCCCGTTTAACTGAGTATTTTTGTTATAGCAATCTGAATTATTGTTCCTCTTGTTCAGTCTTTGAAAATATATATTTGATCGAGTTTATATCTTTATGTTCTAACCAAATGTTTTTATCTTTGTCTTTTGCAGCGGAAAATCAAAAGGGAGGTCTTAAAAATAATGAGCAACATTGAGACTTTGAGAGAGGTAAGCATTAGACCCCACTCTAGTTAAATGTTCTTAAATATACTTTCATTACAAAATTGCCTGTGTGCTTCCTTTTCCACAGAAAAAAAAATAACTTTCTGGGGGGTTTTTCTTGTAGGATTTGTCTAGCTTTCCTCCATCCTATAAAAGCTCGGTGACACTTTCTTGGACCCCAGAGACAGAAGCAGAGATTGGGTAAGTGTTCAGCCATAATCATTTCATCTAAGTTTTACATATTTTTTTGACTTTCCAATACTGAAGTAACATAAGTTAAATTTCTATAGCAGCACGTATAAATTATTTAAAGCTACATTCTGAAAAAAAAATCATAACTGAGGAATACTTGCTAATCAGATGGCCATGTGTACATGATCAGACATTAGAAGTCTCAGATTCCAACACAGGAGCCCCAGATGGGACTATGGTTAGATAGCTAAACTATTAATGGGCAGTCGGTTAGAAACTGGGCAGAATTCCATGGTACTGCCGAGAAAAGGCACACACTTATTTTAATATGATGTGTTATCAATAGTGTATGAATAGTTATATGTATATATTTAACATTTTTATTGAAAGTTTACATCTGCACAGACTGTAGTTTGTAGAGATGAGATTGACATTGACATATTCTTCTTTTCCAGACAAAAAAGAAAGTTTGAAATGACTGCTTCTGTGTCTCCCCCAAAGAAGCAGAAAACAAATTTGATTAAATAAAATATATACAAGTTCCTTTGGAGATAACCCATATGGTAAGTTGATGGAACCTTAAAATATCATTATACAAATTTGTTTTTCCACCACATTAATTAATTTAGAACTTTATTCTTGAACTTGTATATGATTATATACAGTCTGGCATTTAAAGTCAATTTAAAATAAATTTTTGCCTTTTGTTTTAAAATTCACTTTGAATTCCTAAATTTGATCACATTCGTGTATAATCTGTATATAACGTAAAGAAAAGTGCCCTTTATTAAGAACCTTACTAATCAAATGAAATACAAAACTGGTGGCAAACATTTTGGTAAATTATTTTTAATTGTTTGGGACTCTGCAATATTTTTTTTATCGTATCTGGACATTAGTTTTTGGAACTACTATAGAATTAATTAATATTGTTTTTTTTTAATTGACCTCGAGATTTTCAGCATACATAGAATTGTGACAGATTAACAATAGTTTTGTAAACATATTTTCTTGTAAATGTTTGGTTTATATGCATTTAGGAGACAGACAAATTACTTTTCAAAGTACTTTTGTATTCATTGTACTGCACCCTGTTCCAAATTATTATGCAAATGATATTTTCTCATTTACCTAAATAATTGATGTAAATAACAGTCAGCATAATTCTCATGTTATCAACTATTAAGAGTACAAGTAAAATTTAATTGAACAAACCTCCTAATGATAACAGTATTTTATTTAAACATAAAAAACTTACAATGCACTGTTCCAAATTATTACGCACAGTAAGTTTCAAAACACTTTATAGGTTGTGAAGAACTGAAAATTGTAATTTGTTGAGTTTGCAGCATATTTACTGAAATCAAAAGCTATTTCAATCAAACTTATAACAACATTTAAACTTTTTCAACATTTTAACAGGTCACGTTACATTTTAACATAGGACCCCTTATTTGATAGCAGCTTCACAAGTCTTGCATCCATTGAACTTGTGAGTTTTTGGACAGTTTCTGCTTGAATTTGTTTGCAAGATGTCATAATAGCCTCCCAGAGTTGCTGTTTGGATGTAAACTGCCTCCCACCCTCATAGATCTTTTGCTTGAGGATGCTCCACAGGTTCTCAATAGGATTGAGGTCAGGGGAGGATGGAGGCCACTTTCTCTCCTTTTATCCCCATAGCAGCCATTGATGCCGAGGTATTCTTTGCAGCATGAGATGGTGCATTGTCATGCATGAAGATGATTTTATTACGGAAAGCATAGTTCTTCCTTCTGTACCAGGGAAGAAAGTGGTCAGTCAGAAGCTCCACATACTTTTCAGAGGTCATCTTTACACCTTCGGGGACCCTAAAGGGGCTGACCAGCTCTCTTTCCATAATTCCGGCCCAAAGCATTGGTTAGTGGTGGCCGAATAGAAGGTTTATGCACAGTTGCAAGACTCTGGAGGACTCTACACTTTGATGTCCGTGGGACTCCAGAGGCACCAGCAGCTTCAAATATCTGTTTGCTGCTATGTAATGCTATTTTAGCAGCTGTTCTCTTGATCCGATGCATGGATCTGGCAGAAATCTTCCTTAATGTGCGTTTATCTGGACGAACCCATCTGTGCTCTGAATCAGCCACAAATCTCTTAATGGTGCGATGATCACGCTTAAGTTTTTGTGAAATGTCTAATGTTTTCATACCTTGTCCAAGGCATTGAACAATTTCACTCTTTTCGGCAGCAGAGAGATCCTTTTTCTTCCCCATATTGCATGAAAATGGTGCTCTGCTTAATAATGTGGAACACCCTCCTTTTTCCTTAAATTGGGCTCACCTGGCAATCTAATTATTACAGGTGTCCGAGATTGTTTTCAGTGATCAAAAGAGCCCCGATACACAATGCCATCCATGAGTAAAACTGAAAAACAAAATAATTCATCTTTGTGACACCTAAATAGAATTTGCATAATAATTTGGAACAGGGTGTACACCTGATTATGTTTAAACCAACAAGGTATCCAAGCTAGTAACCTGTATCAATAGTTGGTGTTATCTTTATAACTACAATGTGTTATGTTGTTTTACAAAAGTCTGTGAGATTACTTATCTGTTTCCTTGTGTCCTCACAGAAAACCAAGAAAAAATCATCAAACAATCCTAAGAGGAATATAGGGGTTATTTGAAGAGAAGAGCGGAAGCACCTTAAGAAAACCCAGCACTTATTTTGACTTTTAGAGAGCAATAATTGTTTGTTTTGGTGTAAAAAGAATAAATTGTTTACTTGAATTAGAACTTTTTTTCTGTTGTTCTCTCGTTATTTCAACACTTGTGGTTTATACACACATGGAAGTAACATTTCATTAGGAGGTGCACCTAGCAAAGTTTTTAATATAAGCCTTACATTTATCTGTTGCTTACTCATATATAGCATTTAATTGTATTAATTTTTTTTTTTTCTAATCCATGAAAATTAAATATTGTAGCGACTCTTCACAAATTTAAAAACTAAATAAAAAACTGGAGTATTAAAATACAACTGCGTGTACAATTTATATGATGCTTTTACCTTCAGTGGTAAATATAACTCATTGCTTAAGATCAAGTTATACATATACAATAAACACAAATACTTTACAGTCAAATGTATGTAAAGTATCCACTATAATCCAATGAGTGCCAAATCATATGAATCAAAATCAACAAATTCTAACTTTGTGCATATATTTGGTATTTTAATGCAGTAACAGAACACCTCTTCTTTTTGATAGAACCCATAATTACATCTTTCCAATGATTCTTATAAATGAACCCCTCAATATGACCATATCCATATCAAGAGACTGTATTGCCTTAGTGCTACATGTTACCCTTCAAGTACTAATTACCCACCTATATCTGCTGTATTTTCTTTTTGTTAGTTGCTCTTTTATCTATTTTAGATTTATTTGTATTAACTTCTAAGTTGCATGCTAAGCTCGTTGAGAGAATATGTCAGCCCTAGTATATGTGTCACCAGGCCTATATTTGTTCCTTGCCAGCTCTATCGACTATTAATTTGACTATTAATTCCTTGTGCGTGCCTCCTTCCCAAATTGCATCTATTTCTATTTTTTGCTCCCTCAGTCTTTTACACACAAGAGATGTAACGATACACTTTATTGCCTCCCACCTACCCCATGGTTCTGTTTTAATGTATAAACTGCCCAATTACTCAATTATGGTCATCAGCAACTAGCTCCTCTCTGCAGACCACACTCTTATAATCTAATCCATTGATTACTACTCTTCTCTCGTTCTCACCAATTCCTGCCTTGCTGTAAGACAGCTATAATTCCAAACACCAGTTTCTCCAATCTTTATAATGCTGTTTATCCAATATTCTCATTCTTACGTCTTATTTTCAATTTTTATCTTGTTCAAAAAACATGCCTTTCTTTCCATCCACCACATCCAAGTAACTCGATCTGTAGTGCTTCTTCCATACTTCCTTCACCACTTACTTCATCTCTATAATCTTATCAGACATCTGCTTATGCATACAAATCCCACAATCAAACACAAGTCCAATTCCCTTCTTCTTTCTCTAGCCACCCTTTTGAATTTAGCAGCTTGGGATATGTCCCCTACTCCTGACCCACCTGCCACTCACCCCAGGAATATCTTCCACATGGGCACGCTGGACCCTTGCCTGGAGTCCCCACAAGCATAGGGGTCCCACAGCTTTGCCCATGTGCCCACGCCAACATGGGAGATCCTTTGAGCTGGTCCTGCTCACTTGCTTTGGGCACTCTTGGGCCAGTGGGGAGATCAAAGATCTCCCCTCCGCCATGGCAATGCTCCGACATACCATTCTGCTCATGGGAGGAGTGAATGCTATAGATCTATATTATTAATCACCGGACCACAAGTACTAGCAGTGTCCACTAATCCATCACCAAAGGTAAGAAGAAGGGGGGCATGAAGCCATGAAGCTTATTTAAAGATTTATTTTAAATAAAAATAACAAAAATTCCTTATCCCATTGTACCACCTCATCACACACAGCACCTCTCACACACACAGAACTTCTCACACACACAGCACCTCTCTTACACATACAGCACCCTTCAAATACACACATTGCACACCCATCACACAGCCACGCACCCCTCACATACACACATTGCACCTCTCGCAAACACACTGCACCCCTCACACATACACACACACACACACACACACACACTGAACCCCTCACACACACATACACATTGAACCCATCACACACACACTGCACCCCTCACACACACACATACACTGCACCCCTCACACACAGAAACACTGCACACCTCACTGCTGTCTGTGTGTGTGTTCAGCAGTCTGTGTGTGTGTTCAGCAGTCTGTGTGTACTCAGCAGTCTGTGTGTGTACTCAGCAGTCTGTGTGTACACACAGCAGTCTTGTGTATATTCAGGAGCCAGTGTGTATTCTGCAGTCTGTGTATTCAGCAGTCTGTATGTTTGTATTGTATGAAAGTATTGCATTTGTTGGAGGTACCATTAAATATAAGCTTAATTTTACTGATAATTTAAATTTTATTTCCTATGAGTGGTTGTGTAGGCAGGGTCCCAGTGCACTGCTTTGCCCGGGGTCCCATAATATTTTTAAGATTGCACTGACTAACCCTACTCACAGTTTTTTCTAGAGCAAACAAAAAGCTTTTACATATGTACAGTTAATCCACTATATCCCATTATTTTCTATGCTCCCTTTGGTATGAATGATCAGTCTGTAACACCATCAAACTGCCATTTCCGATCTTGTCATCTTCAGCTTCCCAAACATCTGATGGTGACTGAAACTTGTCTCTCTCCCTCTGACACTGCTCCCCCTCCTTCCATATCATATAGAGGATTGCATTTATCCAACTCTCTCTTATTATTCCAACCTTTCCACCCTTGAACTTATTTCTCCTTTTAATATTTTAAAATCCACCCAATGCTCATCTTCAATCTTCTGTTAGAACATGTTCCCATTATCTACAGCAAGGGGTTCCCAACTCAATCCT